ACCCCCCGAAAAATCTGAAGTAGGAAATTTCTGAAATAATCACTGCTTAATACAGGAAAAACCACTCCATCCTTCTCCATGAAGGCTTTAAATGCTAACATATGTTCAGACAGTAGGCAGGGGCAGGCAATACTTATTTAAACATTGATGCGAAGGAAGACGCTACTGTAGGGAGAATGAATTTTAATTTTTTTATGGCAGAAAGGGCCTTTTTGACTAACCCTATTTGGAAATGGAACCAAGTTGACAAGCTCGGAATTTCCCTTACTCGTTAACAGTCGAGAACGTTTTAATGGGGATTTTTTGACACTGTGTCAGATTGCTACGATTTACAAAATTATGGCTTTGCATTACCCACTGACTGACTTTTAAACTTTTATAAAAGCCGCTCTTAGGCCATATTTGTCTCATAAAATGATATGAAACAAAAATCTCAGGGCGGTTTTGAAACGGTTTTTACCCTTATCATCAACGTCCCAATCGATACAATCACAATAAAACTCAGAATTAGACTAGTCGGTGAGATTTGCCTGAGACCGTCGCGGAAGGTCAAATTATAGATATGAGAATGGGGAAAACTCGCGGGCCGCATTAACACTAAGCTTTGCGGTCGTGTAGCGGGCCGCAAAATATCGTCTTGTGGGCCGCAAATGGCCCGCGGGCCGCGGGTTTGAGACCCCTGGCATAGAATTTCAAAGGGAACTTTTTGTTTCAGGTGATACAGAAGATGATCCCTTTACAAATATGTAAATGTATATTCTTACTGAAGACTTAAATAGCCTAGAATAAAACGTTTTGAATTTTAAAAAACAAAAAACAAAAAACAACAAAAAAAAAAAAAAAAAAAAAAAAAAAAAAAAAAGAATTTTAAAACATAAAAATCTAAAAAAAAAAAAAAAAAAGCAAAAAAAAAAAAATTTTAAATATAAAAAAAAAAAAAAAAAAAAAAAAAAAAAAAAAAAAAAAAAAAAAAAAAAACACAGACCAGATTTTTCAAACATTAACATCTAGAAATAATAAAATAATATCAGCTAGAATTCAAATCGTCACCACCCACCGTTTTGTTTTGTGTGTGTTGATAAACGTACTGGCTCGAGTCTTCCCACTTCCACACAACACAGAAATGAAAATGGACGTTGCACTTACATTCTGTGCACAGAAACTGACTCGCCGGAACCTAAATAAACCCCACACACTTCCAGACTCCCAGCATCACGAGGCATACGCTGCACAACCGGCAGGGGTGAGGTCAGAGTTTGACGTTTACTCTAACCCACGTCTGGGTCAAACCTTTTTTTTTTTTTTTTTTTTGAGGGTAATTTTCGGACGAGTAGAATTTGTAACATTTTAATAATCGGTTTATCCCTAAATGGCAGAATATTTAAAAAAGAAAAAAAATCTTTTTATATCAACTTCGCTGTTGTCTGTGACTCGCTGACTGACAGGCTAGGCGGCACAATCTTCTGACGGTTAGTTTTGAACCACTTCCCTTCAAGGTACCGAGCTGAAACTT